CGATCGAGACAGTTATGCTGCTCCGTCGGTTCCTTGAGAAACGTTTGCCTTGGCCTTGGCGAGCGCCCCCAGCAATCCGTGATACGCACGTTGCAGCACCACGAGAACGCCCCGTTGATCCAGAAAGCTACACGGGCAACTTGGCATGAAGACGCGCATTTCTGCATAACTAAATCTTTCGAGATATCACAGTGGTCGGGATACTTAATACTGCCACAGTGGCATTGGTGGCTCCAGGACGCGATCACATCGGCTGTGAACCTCTTGTCTCGACGATGAAAACGACGACCTTCTCTTTTTAGCCGCGTATCCCACCACGCTGTCGAGCGATCGTAAATATTGTTTGCATAGCTCGCTAATTGCCCACCATACTGGCACGTGAAGCTGTACCGTGTTTCGCTCTGCGTTCCTGGGAGCCCGCTTCGCCTTTGCTTGAGCTCAGTGCAGTTCGCGACGAGGTTTGACGAAAGCCACCGGGGGGGCCTCTTGAACCAGCGCAGGGCCCGCGGAGCTAGAAGCCATAGAAGTGGGGGGAAGCGAAGAGGTCGCCATCATCGTGATTCGTCGTCTCGTAGCTGTTGTCGGTTTCGCTCGTTTCCACCGAAGCCGTCGTCGCGCCACGGGCGCCGGTGAATTTTGCGGAGCTGGGGCAGAAGCAGGACGTCGCCAAGTTACTATGCCACGGCATCTAGCAACATGGGCATCGAACAGACGACGGCGCACCAAAGAACCATTCTGGACGCGCAGAAGAACTGCAAGTGAAACGTCGCTCCTCTGGCCTCTTCTCCCCCTTGCACGAGCGCACGTACATGGGGAAGCCATCCAGTGGGTTGACAGATCGGCTCTTTGGGCAAACTCTCAAAGCGCCACCGTAGGCCGCACCCACTCCTGGGCCGTCGCGGCATTCATAGGACGCTCCCCGGGGGGCGCAATCGGACTCGCTTGCTTTGGCCAACCGCATCTGCCCGCGACGGTCAGTCTTGGCCCGGCTGCAAAGCTCGCGCCAAAGCTGGCCGCCCTGCTCCTGAGCAGTCGGAACCCACTGCTTGCGCCACTGAGATTCTGGCTCGGACCTGACCTGCACGACGAGTACGAGATGGATCTGCTTCCAACACCACGATCGGAGGCTCACGCGTCAGCCGCCCAGCTCCGAGGTCCTAGGGCGGTCTACCAGTTCGGCCCCAAGCGGCCCCACCCCCCACCGATCTCGCAAGCATCTCCCGAGATGGCCCTAGCACGAAAAACGAAAATCACCCGGGTCTCAAACAGGTCTACACCGAACCAGCGGGCATCCACGTTGATATTCTTATCACGCATGGCCTCCGAGGCCCCCCCCTTACCTTACCTCTGCATGCTAGATATCGCGCGCATCGGCATGCGAATACTCGGCGTCGCTCGAAGTCGCAAGTCGCGAAAGTTCCAAGCCCCCGCCCCACGCAGAGGGCGCCCAGACGCAGACGCTCGGAATATTCGCCCTCGAACGCGAAGCGGCCGTTTCGAAACCCCCAGATGGCATCGCAATTTCGCCCGGGCCCTCGACGCAGCCTGAATCCGCTCCGGACGCATCCACCCCCGCCCCCCGTCTGATTTTCCCGCCCACCGAACGCGCATCCTGAACGGCGAAGCCCCCGCGGCAGCGTCTGGCTGGGGTCGCGCGCCACAGCCCCCACATACTCGCCTGCGCCCAGGTGGAGATGCCACCCCCTCAATCTCCGAGCTCTTGCCTAACGCGGCCCACCGTAGTCCGCAAATGTGACGACGCGGCCCACGCCGACGCATCGCCCGCAATGCCCACGACCTTCAACGCATCCTGAATGGCGACCACGTCGCGCCCCCGGCCTGCACCACGCCCAAGAGAACACCAGAAGGAACCGCCTTCAGCAAGATACCTGGCAAGACCTCTCTGAGCACTCTCACTGAATAACAACGATAACAACTGAATAAAACACAAGAGGTGGCACACCCCGCACGAAAGCCTCGCCGCAGCCGGCGCGGATCGGACTCGCCAGCTTGCGCCCCCACCAGGCAACTGGTTTCTCCGCTGAGCTGTCAGAGCGCTGAAAAGATCGCAGGTTGCAAACCTTCCTATCTGACCATGCGCTGCAGAAGTTCTCGAGGGGCTGGCGGGCGCGCCACCTTGATATCCGCCAAATATAAAATCGCATGTTCCTCGAACTGCCAGCAAGCTGCGCACCGCTGAGGCCGGCGTCGGCCACGGCGGGTTTTTCCTCGCAGATGAGCCGCGCGCTGAGCTGGCAGACATCGCTCCCAGTCGGAGCATAATTCGCATGCAACTCTTGCGAATAGAAGCACGTCTCCCGCGGATCTCCCGCGTCGGAAACCCCGCTGCCCCTGCCCGAAGAAAGACAGTCTCTCGCAATAACGCTCCACGCGCTCGGCCGCTAGTCGCGCCAGACGGCAAATGCCACGATAGCCGCCCAAAGCTTTTCGTGATCCTTTCCCCTCGAACAACGCCAGAATAACTGCCCCGCGAGCTGACTCGCTCCAACGAGGCCGCGGGCCGCGGGGGTCCACGTCCTGCCACATTCGATCGAATGGGGTCGCGCAAGGCCCTCTGCTCCCAAATCAGCGCCATCCTGACCATATCGACGAGAACCTCGCCCTCGCCTGCGGCTGGCGCGCGCGCGCCCCAAACGGCCCCCCGGAGCTCGTCGAAACTGGGAAAACCATCCAGATCTGGACAAGCACCCCGCTGTGCTACGTCGCTGGACACATCCGCCGCATCATCGCCGCCGCATCGTCAGAATCGCAGCTGATATGTATATCTATATATATATATATATATGTGCACGCGAAGTTTTCTCAAGAGCAAATTGTAATACGTTCATATTTCGCCGTTGGTGGCCGCCACCTCGAGCTGCCGGCAGAAATCGCCAATAGCTCTACTCTTGCGATCTCTTTCCACTTGCCGCTCTGTCATTCTGCAAGCCCGGCAATGCATAAATTTCTGGCGCTTGGCAGGGGCCCGACGCTGTGCGCAATGTTCCGAGCAGCTGCCACCTACCCTCTGGTTGCTTTTCAACGCATCTTGTTTGAATTCGGATAAGACTGACAGCCCGCGCGAACGAGTCCACGCCCGACGCGCTGCTTTTGCCGCCGATGTAAACGCCCCCGCCATGTCTCGCCAAGTCACCCCGCGATTCTCTGACCTCGAATCAGTAGAAGTTGCTGCTATTGCTCACGCAGCGCAAGAGAAACAGAGAGAGAGAGAGAGGAAAAAAAAAAAAAAAAAAAAAAAAAAAAAAAAAAAAAAAAAACTTGCCCCAGTGACCACACAAGGCGAACTCTGCCGTAGGTCGCCATCTCCACCGCGACGACGCCTGAAACAATACCAAGGCAATGTCAAGTTCGTACCACTTCTTCACAACACTGTGATAGAATGCACCCCGATGGGGGTATGCAAACACGAACTCAAATTCGTCAGCCCTTCCTGCTTTCAAAATTTCTGCACCGGGTGCGACATCACCGAAGTCGGAGTCCCCGCCGTAGATCTGCCAATGAAACCATTCCTTCGCTCGTCCTCTTCGAAACGATAAGCAAAGTCGCCGCCGATGATGATATTGCCCCCTGGCTTTCGTAGTTTGCCCATGACCCAACTGCCCGCCAGAAAGCGTTGAGCACGTCGTTCTCGCCCGCCCGCAATATTCTGCGTGGGAACGTACTGCGATATCAAACACACAACCTATGCCTCGCCTGGCCATCTGTCTGCGCTGGGTGCTCAACAAGGTTCGGATCCAGTCTGCTGCTACTTCTGCACAATGAATTGTTCTAGTGCTCTCTTCCGTCCTCTTCCTCCTTAGGGTATGTACCAAATCATGGCTGCGTGGCGACACTGCATTTTGCACCGCACCGCTGCACGCAGTCGCTCGCGCGGAGTCCGCCATACGATTCGGACCCCAAGCCTTGTTGGCCCCTGCTCCAGGGCCCTGGGTGGCTCCCACCCGGATGGCTGAGCTCCCCAGCCACAAACAAGGCCCCCTACCCGGAAGACGCTCCGTCAACCGCGCAGGCCCCCCCCAGGAGAAACCTCGATTGGAGGCGCAGGGGAGGGGGAGGGAACCTCAAAACTATAGCACGGACGGGGGTTGCGCACTAAGGCCGGGGGTCCCCCCCTCATACTAGTGCTCTCTTCCGTCCTCTTCCTCCTTAGGGTATGTTCCCAATCATGGTTGCGTGGCGACAGTGCATCTTGCACCGCACCGCTGCACGCAGTCGCTTGCGCGGAGTCCGCCATACGATTCGGACCCCAAGCCTTGTTGGCCCCTGCTCCAGGGCCCTGGGTGGCCCCCACCCGGATGGCTGAGCTCCCCAGCCACAAACAAGGCCCCCTACCCGGAAGACGCTCCGTCAACCGCGCAGGCCCCCCCACACCTCCTTCCCCCACGCAACCCCCCAGCTCCTGAGAGGGCGGGAAGAGGCAGGGAGAGCGCAAGCGATACCCTCCAATGCAGGCGTAGCCCTCCAACTGAAGGAAGGGGGGGGCAAAAAAAAAAAACGCACCTCCGCTGCCGGAGGGATGCGCGTGGTCAGTACCAACACACATGCGGGCAGCCCTGAACCCTACGGAGGGCAATCCCTCCTGGCGAGCCCTACTGCTCCAGCAGGGCGCATGCACGCCCAGGGCTGCAGGCCAAGAGATCCAAGGCTATCTGAGAAGCTCTCGTGAGCAACCTGCCCCCTCGATCAGGAAGTTCAAACTCCGTCTGCTGCGCGAGAGCCTGGCCAACGTAAATCTTGGCTGTACGTTCATTCTTCCACCTACCGCACAGTGTAGTCCGGCAGTTGCTATGAAACGTTTGGTATAGCCAGGTTGCGCCTCCACGGCGAAGAGCATATGGTGTCAGCTGATCGAGAGGGAGACCGACCCGTGCGCCGCAACGTCGAAAGGCCAACCGAAACTCCCGGGGGGCACCGCCGAAGACCCGGCCAGAGCCCCCGCGATACGAGGCCAACTTCAATGCAGAAATCACCGAAGCTTCTTAGAGCCACACCTTTTCGTGAATGTTGTAGCGCTGGCCGGATTTGGAGCCCCGCAGGACCGGGATGGCCCCCCCGTGATCACCTAAGTACATAATGTCCTGGAATCGTAAATTGACGACCTCTGAAGTACGAAGTAGACCGGCGAAGCCGGCGAGAATGGCGGCGGCGAACCCGAAGTCCTGGTCAAGGAGCGCGAACCCCGCCATGCCACAAACCATAATATTCGTAATAGGTAGGACTCGGACTCGTTGCACGGTGCGCCGCCAATTCGTCACGTAGAACCTGCTTATGGGTAATTGGTCACGCGCCCTAGGCAAGAAGCGGCCCAGGGCTGAAAGTACATCGGCGGCCATGCCCTCCGGGTGATCGTCGAGCCACAAATGGTTCATGAACTCGGAAACCTCATAATCTAATTGCTGCGCATCCTGTGGGAAAGGGCGCCCCCCTTCGTCAAGATACGCAAAGAAAATCCGTAGGACGTTGCGGTAGCGTTTTCGTGTCTTCTCTCCAATTCCAATCTCCTTGAGATGCCGCCGAAGACGGCGCGGCGCCCCCTCAGCACGCCGCCGGCCCTGGGTCATTCTGGCAATCGGGCCCGGCTGGGCCCATCCGCGAAGTTCCAACCAGAAAGAGCCCACACCATCAACGGGTAGATGTCACCTGCAAGGAGAAGCCCCGCCAGCTTCCGGAGCTGCGAGTTGAGAGATCGAGAAGACGAGCGACCTTTGGCGACCACTGCGGCCGCCACCTGGCTATCGACGACGTGGAAGAATCGCTTCCCCAAGAACCGGCGCGATTGCGCCGCCTCGGTCACGTGGTTCAGGAAAGCCACCACCTCCAGGATGGAGATATGCTGAGGGGACCTCCAGCTGTACGCCGCCACGGTCTTCCACGCCCAGCGGAAAGCTGGGCATGGCGCTACCTGCCTGCACGCCCTGTGGAGTTCTCCGGCCCACAGCTGCACGTCCGAGCCTCGATGATCGATCCTGCGGCACAGGTCCCGAAGGTGCTCCACCTCCTGGCCCTGGCGCATGTTCTTGAGGAACGCGTGAAGCTCGTCAGCCACCGCGTTGTTGACAATCTCCTCCGCCAGGCGTCTGCTGGCGCCCTGGAGCTGGCCCCGGAGCCGCCGCGCCTGGGCCGTGAGCTCCCGCGGGAACAAGTGGCCGCCCAGCTCGAGGAAGACATGCTGGACGACGTCCGCGTACGCGGCGCAGAACTCCTCCGGGTAGCCGTCCTCCAGCTGATCGCCTCGAGGGCCTGCCTGGGCCTGGCGAGTCGCAAAGGGCCCCTCGAGCCCCGGCCCGTCCTCCAAGTGGAACCGGACGTGCAGCGCCGGGCAATTGTGGAGCAGCACCGAAACCGGGTTCCGGCGCCCCCCAAAACCTTGAACCCAGCACTTCGCGAGGTAAATCCCCTTTTGCCGCGCAAGGCGCCGAGCCAAGGGGAAACGGAATAGCCAGCTCCTGCAGGGGTGCGCCAACACACTCACTCCCCAGCTATCCGCCCGGCGTCCAACTCGAGCGAGGGCAGCGTCGGCCATCTTGTTGGACTCCCGGACCCGGTCCAGGGTGCGCCCCCGCAGCCACGGCAATCCTCTGGGATGCCGGCGGCCTCGCACGGCGGGGGAGCGCGCGCCCTTGAGCATGAGTCGGACCCCTGGCGCCCAGTGCTCCCAGAGGATGGGAGACTTCTCCACCAACTTGCGGACGTACTCGGCCCCCGCCGGCTCCAGGAAGTCCGGCATGCCTGGGCGACGCGCGTCGTACGGCGGCGCCACCTCTACCCCAGTCTTCGCGACCGCGCAGGTGAGCTTGGCGCTGGTCCCCGAGAATACTTCCACAAACGTAGGGAATGAACCCAGCTCCAACGCCTGGCAGCAGGGCCCGGTATCTGGCCCTTCCGGCTTCCGCCGATGCGCAAGAAGCTCCTCCAAGCCTCCGGCCGCGTACCCGCACCTCGCCGGGCAAGGGTAGGGGGCCTTGCACGGATCCCGCGCTTCAGGTCCTGGCCAGGCTGGGGCGGGCACGAGCCGGGAGAACTCCTTCGCGACCGCGGCGCCGCCTCCGGTGGGAGAGGCGTCGGTAATTGAGATATGCTCGTACACCTCCGCCCTCAAGCTCCCGGCGGCCATCGGCAGCAAGCCCGCAAAAGTGATGATCTCGGTGAGGACCTGCAGGTTCGGCGTTTTGAGCTCCCCGGGGCACTCCAGCAGGCGGAAGATGTCCTGGAGTACCGAATACAACGGCCGGCGATAGGAGGCGGCATAGCACGCTAGGCCTCCCCAGTGCCGTACAACTCCCTCGGTCCAGGCGGAGTCCATGAGCATCCCCATGGAGAGCCTAATGGCATGTCGGCTCCGCCTCCGGGCATGGGCATACAGCCCCAGCTTCAAATCGAACTCGCCCCCCTGGATGGTGGCCCGGTAGCTGCCCACAAGCCGCTTGCCAACGTTGAGTGGGAGTCCCAATTCCCGACACACCCCCACGAACCGCGCGTGCTCGGGGGATTCGCGCTCAAGCTCACTCCCTGCCAGGGCCTTGTCCAGCACGCGTACGTAGTCGAACGAGTCCAGCACCACCATCGAGTAGTCAGGGCCCGTCGGGACGAGGCTGCCCTTTGCCACTTCCGTCTCCGGGGCCACTCCGGCTCGGACAAAAACCAGGCGTCGGACCAAGTGCTGGACCAAATCGACGGCCCCCCTGTAGCCCATGGGGACCGTGCGGATACCCACGCGGAAGTCCGAGCAGTCCGGGCCCTTCACAAAGCCACTGACCATGCGCTCGTATGCTGTGAAGCCGCGCCAAGCCAGGGGCTGCACGAACAAGTTAAAGCAGCTCTCGAAATCCTCGCTGTCCACGAGCGCCTCCTCGCAGCTTCCGAGGATAATCAAAAGTGCATGGCCCAGGTATGGCAGCTTATTCGCGTCCCCCTCCAGCGTGGCCATGAACTGGTTCACCGGCGTCATAATGGTGATGAAGCGAAGCAAGTGCAGGACCTCGCCGTCCGGAGCCTCCTTGAACTTGTCCACCCCCATGGCGCCATTCAGGACCTTCTCGCCGTTGGGGGCAACAAAGATGTCGTCCTCGGGGACCTCCCAAAAGATACCCCTCTTCAAGCCCTCCGCCGCTATGGCATCCCATTCCGTCAGGTTGCCATGCACGCGGGACTTGTGCACAGACGTGGGCCACTCCTCATGCGGCTTCAGACACCTGTACGGGTCGAGGTATCGCTCCCGGAGGGGGTCTTCGAGGAAGTCGGCGGCCGGGTGAAGCGCGGCGCAGCCAGGAGCCGGCCACGTAGGGATAACCTTGTTGGCTATCAGCTCCCTCCTCACGCTGATGGTCTCTCCCTCGTAGGTGTACTTCCGCCGCCGAGCCTCGGCGTACTTAGCCCCCCAGTCGTCCACGTCATCCTCGGCCAAGAACCACAGCACCTGGGTCACTAGCCTCTCAAGCGCCTGCCTATGGAGGGGGCCCAATGGCCCGTCTGGGACCGGCTCCCGGCCCAACTGGGAGGAACTCGATTCCTTCCCCGGCTCCGCAGCCATCCCGGAGCCCAAGAAATTAATCAGCATCACCACCACCCAGGTCCAGTCAACAGCCAGGCCAGGGTCAACCGAGAGCTCGAGAGCGCGCGGCCGCACCATCTCCTCGAGCGGCGCCACGGGAAGCGGCAACAGGGAGCGCTGCGCGCCATTGTGGCCCCGGCTGGGCCGAAGTGCAGCGGTGCGGACGTACTGGCCCAAGGCGGATGGCATGGAAACCAGCGCCCCCCGCAGCCACCTCCCCATCTGTGCGCCCGAAACCGCGTGAGGAGTCTCTCCCCGGAGGTTCTTCCGCCAATCTTCGATGTCAAGGGCGGCCTCCATTGCGCTGTGGAGCCCGGGCCCCGAAGCTGTCAACCCTAGTGGTGGCCCTTCCCCCTTCCCTGACGGTCCTTCCCCTTGTCCTTCCCCCTGTCCTTGTCCTTGTCTTTGCCTTTCCCCTTCGACCACCCGCCTTTCAGCTTCCACTGCAACTCCTCCTCCTTCGTCGTCATGTACTCCTCCTCTCTGTCCACCAGCGTAGTGCCTTCGGGGGGAAGGAGTTCCAGCCACCCTGCCTTCCCCCAGTGCCCGTCCACGGTGGCTTGCTCCACCGCTTTGAGCCGCTGGGCGAGCAAGTCGGCAGCCTGCCCGTACGCCTTGGCCGCCAAGAGATCCAAGGCTTTGCACAAGGTGCGGGCCTCGCGGGCATTCCGAATGCCGAGGCTCGGATGGCTGTTCTGGAAGATGCCCAGGAAATAGGACACGGCGGCGGCCGGGGGTGCTCCCTCCAAGGTCGTCGGCTCCTCCCCACGGTCCGTCGCCGCCGCCTTCTTCGAAAGAAGACGATGGGCGAGCCGACTGGGATGCGTCCGGGAGTACTCCACCAGGCTCATGTGCGTGTGCCCGGTTGGAGAGGAGCCGCTGCCAAAAACTCCCCGGCCTCGGGAAGGGGAACGACTGGAGCGCCGCAGGACGGGCCCACTCCCGAAGGGCCCACGGTCGTGGCGGCCGCGACCCCGGCGGGAGCGGCTGCGCAAGCGGTCCCTCGAGCGCTGCCGGCGGGTACGACTCCCTCGCGACGGAGACCGCGAGCGGCTGCGCCTCCGCTCCCGCGAACGCTGGCGTCCCCTCCTGGCCTCAGGGTCCTTCTCCTCTTCCTTCTCCTTCTGATCTTTCTTCTCCTCCTCCTCTCGGCGGCGATCCGGCTCACGACGGCGATCCCGATCGCGACGGTCAGGCTCGCGACGGTCGGGGTCGCGGCGGTCCAGCTCGCGACGGTCAGGCTCGCGACGGCGGTCCCGCTCCGGCACCGCCTTGGACCCCGCCGCGAAAGGGTCGTCCTGGCAGGGCTCATCACGGCGGCGGCCTCGCCGCGACCGGCTCCTCCGCGCTGCCGGGGAGTCCCGCAGGTCCTCCCGAAGATCGCGGATGTCCTTCGCCAGGCCGCCCTTCTGGTCCTCCGCCTGCCGGTCTGGAGGGAAGAGGCGGCCTCCGGGCGCGCCCCCAGCCTTCTCGCCAGGCGCGCCTTCGGCCTCCTTGCCACCAGCCGCGCCCGCTGGAGGCGCATCTTCTTGCAAAGATTTTGCCAACTCCTCAGCCCGCCTGCGCGCTGGCCCCTTTAGCCAACGGAGGCGGCCCTCCAAGATGTCCTCGGGGAGGACCCGCCGGAAGCCGTCGACATGGACGTCCGCCTCAGGGGCCTCCTGGCAATCGACGGCCGCCTTCTTGCACAAGTGGTAGGTCAACGTGTAGCTGGCCTCATGCTGGAACCAATACGCGTAGAAGTCGTCCGAGCAGGCGACAAACTTCATAGCCACCATCTTCCCGAGGCACGCGTCGCCCTTAGCCAAGAGCAGACCCGTGCCCTGCCTGGTGGAATAGTCAGCCTCCCACAAGTCGACCTCATACAAACGGCCCGCTTCGACGACCGCCCCGGTGCCGATGCCGAGCACGTGGTCGGGGTCGTCCCGCACCCGGAGCCAGGGCCCCGGCATGGCAGCCCCAAGGCTGGGCCGAAGGGGGAGAAGCGGCCCCTCCCTAAAGGGGTTAGGGAAGTAAGCAGTCGCGGACTTGAACCTCAAAACTATAGCACGGACGGGGGTTGCGCCCTAAGGCCGGGGGTCCCCCCCTCATACTAGGATGGGAGCGACTTTGCCGCTCACGAGCATTGTACACACCTCAAGTCCCAAAATCAGAGGCTGCGCTTGCTCTTGATATAGCCACGTCGGGCTGGTGATATCGCTGATGGAAACATGTGACACTTATTGCGCACGGGCTTCTCCATGATGTGTGCTAGCTTTGATATGCCCTCACTGGTGCCCCACGACATTGCACGAACATCCAACATGCCGATACGTACCTCGTGGAGGTTGGTCCGCACGTTGCACCCGTTCAATTTACACCGCAGCCAGAGGGCTCTCCCGGTTGGCAGAGGGGAAGCCCATGCCCGCCTGCGTTCGACATCGGATGGCTGAGACATATGCCCAAGACCGCCATGGAGTACCTGGACATGGAATGCTGTACAAGTAGTGTGTGAACCTGGTGACCGCGTTCGACATTTCTATTGCAACACTTCACTACCACCAATATGTGCCACAGGATCAAATAGAAGTACATGCACGTGCAGAAGACGTACGGAAGCGCACCCTTGCTCACCATGCGGAGCTATGACCGATAGAGTAACTGTTTATGCTACTCAGACAACTGCTTCATGCCACCCTGGTTGAAGTGGCGCCGAGCCATTGCGAGGACACGGGAGGTGGTGAGCTGCGGCCCGACTGGTGAATCCGCGAGCGATCATGACAGCCTGAAACAACATGACTTGAAACAAAATGATTTTGTACTCCCAGCGGAGTTCCTATCGTTGCCATACACATCGTCAGCATCGCAGCATCGCCACCATCCTCCCTCCTCATCAGCATAAAGCACCATCAACAGATCCATCGTTACCATTCTTCTTGCGCAAGCATCCTGATCACCTAGCCCATCATTATATTCATCACTAGTAGCCATCACACCATCTGTGTGAACATAAACATCGGCGGTGACGACATCGCAACTTTTCATTACCATCAGCATCAGCAGCATCATCACCATGGCAATCGTCTTTGCCACAGCCATCGTCGGCGTCAGCATCATCATCATCATCATTATCATCATCATCAGCATCATCATCATCATCAGCATCATCGTCATCATCATCATCACCAGCACCATCATCATCATCATCATCATCAGCATCATCAGCATCATCATTGCCATCAGCATCCGTATCATCATCTTCCGCATCATCAGCATCGTCATCGCAAACATTCTCGTCGCCGTCATCAACAACACCACTATCACCATGATCATAAATGCCCTCCTCATCATTCTCATCTTCCTCATCATCATCGTCGTCGTCGACGTCATCATCATCATCATCATCATCATCATCATCATCATCAACAACAACAACAACGATCATCATCAGCAGCATCAACAACATGACCGTCGTCATCATCATTACCACAATCACCATCATCATCAGCATCATCCTCCTCTTCTTCTTCTTCTTCATCATCCTCTTCTTTCCCCTCAACATCATCACAATCATCGGACGGAGGTCCAAAGAGGTCCTGAGGTCCAAAGAGGTGGATGAGGAGCTGCTCTCGGAGGAGGAAAACACTGGGGATGGATGTTCCAGATGGATGTTCAGGGAGGGTCGCGGGTGTCCTGAGGGGGGGAGGCATCGATTGTTTGGTGTCTGTGTTTGGTGTGACTGGGGGAGGCAACATCCAAAAAACAAAAATGAAACACACGGTGTTTCCTGCGCATACCGCCGATACCCTCCCCACTCAAAACAAATAAATCCCAACCAGAATTTTTCCCCCCAGGGAATGCCCCAAAAAAAACTGAGGCCCCATCACTGGGCATTTTTACGGGAGGGGCTCCCGGGAACCCCCGAAGAGCCTAACAAAGACCAGACCCAGTAGAACCCCCCTACAACCGCGTCACGGTTTTGAAAGGCTTCCCAGACCCAACAAACCAGCACACACACACACACACACACACACACACGCCGTCGCTGCGTTAATTCTGTGTCCCAACCGTCCTGTGGTGTTGGGACCTCGTTTTAAAGAGACAGCGCCCCGCGTCTCCTCTCCTCCTCCCCGCCCCTCCCCCTCCTCCCTTCTCCCATGCTTGCCTCTGCCCTCCGCGTAAGCATTTCGGCACACCCCTCACACGTCTCGTGGCCCCAGTGGGAACTCCACCGAAGCCCCCCCAGTCGCGACATTCGCATGCGGTTCCACTCCCATTTCGACACACCCCTCACACGCATCGTGGCCCCACAAGGAGCCCCACCGAAGGCCCCAGCGACGACGTTCGCATGCGGTTCCACCCCCATTTCGGCACACCCCTCACACGTGTCGTGGCCCCACGGGCAGCTCCACCGAGAGCAGTACCCACCACGCGGCACTCACAACTGCGTATGGCTGGGCCCTTCGCCCGGATAGTTGGACCCTCCGAGGAGACGCCCTAAGCCACCTTGTTACGGGCTTTACCAGGAAATTTCCTCGGGACCCCCTGTAAACCCCAATCACGGCGAGGTGTGGGAGGGAGGTATGCGGAGGACCCAGCTCGCTTTTGTTCCGAATGGCGTCCAAGTAAAGGGTTCTGGAGCTTAGAACAGTCCCACAACAGGGACGGGGAGCTCGAGACCGCCCAGTCCGGAGGCGGTCTGGCAGGCGTTACGCCTGACCCCCCCTCAGTGTATTCAGGAACCGTGCTCTCGCCTCGATGCCGTCTGCATTTGTGGTCCGGACGGCCACGACCTCTTCAAACAATCAGTTACGGTGCACATGACCGTGCACTTCCTATGAGTGCCTGGGAATACCTGGGAGTGCATGCTCTCACTGGCCGACCTCCTACTCAACGACCCGCCTTTTCGCCGTTGCTGCTATGATTGTGCTTTGCTGGGGTAATTTTCCTCGGGTGGAGCCTCCACGCCGTGCCCTTCTGGGCTTAGGTCGGGCCTGTGCCCCTACAGGGGGATCTTGGGCGAAAAATAAACAACAGTCAACAAAATATTCAAAAAAAGTTCAGAAAGAGTCACCAAAAAAACGTCCCCTGACCATTGTTTTACCTATTTTTGAATACTCCTCCTGTAGAGGGACAGGCCCGACTTAATTCTGCACGGACGGGCTCCCCAGAGGAGCGCGAACGCCCGGGCGCTGCTCTCTTACCAGCCTGGAACATATCCCTATCCCTAAGCTGGGCATCGCCTCCTCGCGATGCCAATCTTAGGGATTCCCCTAGTTTTTCAGGGCGCATCCCTGAGATTGTCATCGCCTCTTGGCGTGCCAAATCTCAGGGATAGGGATAAGTTCGAGAATGGTGACTCTCGACAGCCGAAGGGCGCAGGGGGTCGAAGCGCCGCTCCGCGGGGGGCCGTCCTGCAGCGGGGCCCGGGCCCTGGACGCGGTGCCACCCCCGCGGGCCGGAGACACGCAGTCCGGCACGGGACCTGGCCTCCGCGGGTCGGATGCAGTCTCTGGCACGGGGGGGCCCACGGCGGGGGGAAGCTTGACGACTGGGGGTGGAGGGGCGGAGGAGGGTTCGAACCGGCAGTGACCCCTCCCCGTTTTTCGGGGGGGGGAGGGGGGAGGGGTTCGAACCGGCAGTGACCCCTCCCGGTTTTTTTTTGTTGTTTTGGGGGGGGGGGGTTCGAACCGGTAGTGACCCCCCCCCCCCTTTTCATAATGGACTGGGGGGCGGGGGTCCGAAAAGCTGCCCCCCCTCGAGAAGAAAGTGGCGGGACTTCCAGGGGAATCTTCGAGGGCTCGCGCCCTTCCCCCCCCCCTTCCCCCCCCCCCAACCAAAAAAAAGCAGCGGGAGATCTGCGGGGAGGCCTGAACCCCCCCCGAAGAGAAGACGCAACGGGAAATGAGGGGGAGGGGCGGACGACCCCCCCGCAACAAGACAACGCGACGGGGGGCTGGGGAGCGGTCGGGGGCTTGTTTGGGGGGATCTGGCTTTGGAGGGGAGGTCCGGTCCCCCCTCGCACACACACACACACACACACACACACACGCACACACACACACACACACACACACACACACACACGCACACACACTTTTTGGCGCCGCGGCCCCCGCGCGCGGCGACGGGGCGCAGAAAATCGAATGCAAGCAGTGAAACGCGCGCGCGTCTACGCATGGATGGCGGGAAGGGCAGTGAGTAGACGGAACTGCGGCGAGGGTGGAAGGTGACATGATTCAACTGGGACTGGCAGGCGGCGACACCGAGTAAGCAAAAGTGGACCGACGAGGGAGAGCGTCAAGGAGGGACGGGGAAATCAAGCAGAAGGCAGCGGAGCCGCAACACAAAGTCGCAGGCCGGAGTAACGGACACATATACACACACAAGCACACACGCGCACACACACACACGCATACAAACACACACGACACTCACTTTTTGCGTCGGCGGTTGGGAGGTGAAGCGCTGGTGAAGCGATGGAAGATGAACGTACGCGAATTCGGCCACCATGCAGAAAAGGGAGGGAGGAGGCGTCCGGCGGCGGCGGGAGGGAAAAAACACACACACACACTTGTTTGGCGTCCCGGCCACGCTCACGGCGGGCCTGCGCAGAAGGGTCGGAGAAGAGCGCACACTGGCCTGGCTCACGCGGCGGGGAGACGCTAGAACCACCCATAGGGGAACACACACACACACACACACGCGACAGCCAAAAAGCACGTGACGGGTGGGTCCAACGGGGTCTCCCGAAGTGCCACTCTCTGCTGCGAAGAAGGTCAGAACGACTGCCGCGCCTCAAACGTCATCGGACCCCCACTTCGTCGCATGTCGCCTTCACTCGGTGGCGCTCCCAGGGGGCAAAGCCAAATGGGTGGGCCTTCTCATAAGGCTCAAAAGGCCACCAGCCTACTGAGAAGCGCTCTATGCCTTCTCCGAACCCACAGGGAGCTTCTCGGAAGGCGTGGGGACA